GGGCCTCGAAGGCACGTTCGTGCGCTGGCTGCCACTTGAACTCGGCGCCCTTCTTCAAGAGGTCGAACAACGGTGCCGTCGTGTCCGAGTAGCGAGGGATGAACGGCCGCAGGTAACCACACACGCCCAGGAAGCTCTGAAGACCGCGTCTGCTCTCTGGTCTCGGCGCTGCTACGATAGTTTGTGTCTTCTTCTCCTGGACCTTGATACCATCCGTGCCGACCACGTGTCCTAAGTACTTCACCTGGCGCTTAAACCACTCACTTTTGTCGAGCCGCAGGTAGAACCCAGTCTCCCTGCATTGCTTCAGGAAGAGCTCCACTTTTGCGAGCACGCTCTCGAAGTCGTCGCCGCAAATGACGATATCGTCGATGTAGCAAAACGCATCGTCGCCGAGTAAGGGCTCGAAACAAGCATCCATGGCCCGCTGGAACTCAGCAGGTGAGTTCTTTACCCCGAATGGGATGACGTTGAACTCGAATAGCCCGATCGGAGTTATGAATGCCGTCAACGGCTTACTCCCCTCCTCGATCGGGACATTCCAGAATCCGCTGTTCATATCCAACGTGCAGTAGTACTTCTTTCCGGCTGCACGGCGTAGGTGGTCCCAGATGCGCGGTAGTGGGTAGGAGTCTGCCACCATCGACGCATTCAGCCGCCTGTAGTCTATAACGCACCTCCATTCTCCCGTTTTCTTCTTGACAAAGTGTGGAGCCGCGGCCCACTCACTCTTCGAAGGTCTTATGACTCCTAACTCGAGCTGCTTCTTAACCTGCTTCTCGAGCTCCTCACGCATTTCCGGCTCGTAGTGCCGTACTCTCGCCTTGAAAGGCCTGCCATGGACTGTGAATCTGGCCGCGTACTTGACTCTCGCAACTTTGGGCTCCTCCCAGGTGTCGCGGTATCGTTCCAGCAGGCTCCACAGCTTCCACCGGCTTCGTGGCTCCATGTGCGTGGTCTCTTCCTCGAAGATTCTTCTTTGTCTTTCGTAGTTAGTCTCAACAACTACGGTCGGGGTGGTGATGACTACGGGACTTTCCAGGTACCGTGGCTCTGCTAACCTCAGTTCTTCCAGATAGCCTCTTTTCGCGCAGAGGACGTGGCGCTTCGTGGGTGCGGGTGCGAGCAGCTCGGCGTCTGGCGTGCCCAACAGGTTGGGGACTCCAGACTGGGACATCACTGCGAAGCTAATCCGTTTAGTATTGCTCCCAATGGTCGTCGTCGCTGGCACAGTGAGGGGTAGGGTGCCGGTGCCGATAGCCGTCTCGACCGGGATGGTGTCTCCTGAGAGCGGTATCCCTGCCCGTTCCTGTCCGCTTCCCGCAACAGGCTCATGTCGGCTCCGGTGTCCACTAGGAATTCTAGTGGTGCCTGCTCCACCAGGGCTCTCACGCAAAAGGGGGCTGCTC